TAAAAGAAAAGCCCCTTTTGCCTGATGTAGGGATGCTTATAAATCTTTCAGTTGAAGTGTTTTATTAAATAGTTCCTCTGCCCCTACTGCAGTAGTCTTTTCAAGTAAAGTCTTTCTTTATCTAACTCCGAATTTGCTTTCTGACAGTTGAAAATGGTTGCCATTTTCATCGGTTGCCAAAATTTCTTCTATCTCTATAGTCTATGGTTCTCGGTTTTTAACTCTCTTTTCTGATATACTACTCCAGTTACAAATTTAACTACAGAGGCATCTCAGGTGGCAAGATGATTCTGTTATCATGGAAAATTTTGTGTAGATCAACATGCTAGACATATATTTAATTCATATTCTTTGATGCAGTACTAAACATTTGTAGAATTGAATTAATTGATTTTGACATAGATAGCTGGGAAACTAAAATTAATAAAGTTTTTCCAAGAAGCTGAGAAGTAATCAGAACTTACAAACTAAATTTTCTGAAGCCCCAACTTCAAGTTTATTGACTGCAATTTTAAGAAAAAATTGTGGCTTTGTGTTTTTATAGAGTGTCTGAAGCCATTCTGAAATTCACGTTGGCTTCTCTTTCATGTCCTATTGCTGAGGTGCAGGTAATCCCCAAAGTAATGAAATAGTAACTATATTTTAAGAGGATTTGAAAAGTTAAGTAGGTGAAAATAAAGCACACAATGAATGATAGAACCAAACCTCTTTATGATCACCTGTTATTTTGGAATACAGTTATACTCACTATTATACTACCAACGTGGCACTTACCTGTTATTTTTGGATCAGGCATGCTTTTCTGCTACAACTTGCTCCTGGCCTCACCACCCCCATGACAGTTGATGTATATTTTCAGTTTTATGCTTCTACTACTTGCCTGAGAAACATCTCCATGAAACTTGTCTTTATTTGAGGACTTAATTAACTTAAAGGTATAGGTAGAAACACTAATGTTATCATGGCAATGGCCCTGGAGCAGAAGTCAGAAGCCTGGGCTCTAATATTGGGTCTATCGTTTATTTATGGTGGTCTTAAATATTGAGTAGGTCATTTACCCTCTTCTGAGCCCCCATATCTTTCTTTAATCATCTATTTTTAATTTTTTAAATTTACCATCTATCTATTTATTTATTTATATTCCTACTCCCCTTCCTTTTGGTAACCATTAGCTTTTTGTCTCTATCTATGGGTCTGTTTCTGTTTTTATTCATTTTTGTTTTTAAATTTCACATATGCATGAAACATACAGTATTTGTCTTTCTCTGCCTTCTCTGACTTATTTTAGTATAATAGCCTCTAGGTCTATCCATGTTGTCTGTCACAAAATGCAAGATTTCATTCTTTTTATTGCTGAATATTCCATATATATCACATCTTCTTTATGCATTCATCTATTGATGGCCCTATAGGTGGATATTACTAGTAATGCTGCCATGAACATTGGGGTACATATATCTTTGAGTTAATGTGTTTATTTCCTTTGGATAAATACCCAGAGGTGGAATTGCTGGATCATATGGTAGCTCTGTTTTTAATGTATTGAGCTATTTAATTGAGTATATTTAATGTAAGTGGAATTGCTGGATCATATGGCAGCTCTATTTTTAATGTTTTCCATAGTGGGTTCTCTTTTCTCCACATCCTTGTCAGCACTTGTCATTTGTTGTCTTTTTGATGATAGCCATGCTAACAGGTATCTCTCTATGGGTTTGATTGTCTCTGATGATTAGCAATGTTGAGCATCTTTTCATATGCCTGTTGGCCATGTGTATGTTGAGCCTCCTTTCTTTAGGATAATTAATCCCTACTTTCCTGCTTCATGGGGATAAAAAGACAATAAAGGGTAATAAAGGCTTATTAATATTTAAGTAATAATACTCATTTCACATATGTATCTTACATTTTTAATAAATTGAGTTACTTAAAATAGAGGCCCTATAGTCCCCTAACATATAAGTAAACACATAATAATTGTTCAGTTAACACTTTTAAATGTGTGACTTGATATGAATGTATGACTGCAAGCAGTACTAAAAGAATTCCACCAATAATTCAGCAAACATTTATTGTGTGAACATTATTGTGCTAGGTCCCTTAAGAGATACAAAAATGGATCAGACATGAATCTTGCCCTACAAGCTCTTACAGTTTTCCAGAGGATATCAGAAATGTGTATAAATAACAAGATGAAGATTTTAAATGTCCTAAGAAATTACAGAGCAGTGTCATAAGAGTTCACAGGAGTTATTTCTAGCTTGGAAAATTATATAAAACTTCGTGAAGATGAAATAATGAGGTGTACCTTAAAGTATAAGTAAAATTTGGATGTGGAGGAAGGGGAAGAACATCCAGTTAGTTCAAGGGCTCAAAGATCCTGGCAGGCATAAGTGCAGTGGGCTCAGAGAAAACTGCCCAGGACTGTCTTAAGGGTTCAGCTGCAACTCAGCTTTGGTAGGGTATCCAAGTAAGTGCAGTGGAAACTTAGAGAAGTGAACTAGAAGAGAGCTTCCTTAAAATTATGATTGTTAATACATATTGACCTGCATTTTTTTCTTTTAGATTGAATAACAAACAAGTACCACTACAACTTGGCATCCTTCTTAGAGTAACCAAAAAATTCACCCTGACATTTTTGAGTATGCAAGTTCTGGTTAGTTTTAACATATTAATCTAATATTGAGTTGTTAGAAGAAAGAAAAATAGAAGTGAAAAAGTGTAAGATTTTGTTTTATGGCAATGAATATTACAGATTCATTATAAGAACTATTAATCTAAAATATTGAATTTGTTTTATAAATATAGATTTTTGTTTTCAAACATATGCTGATTGTGGACTTTTCATAAAGATTTCAAAATTTGAAATGGGGAGCTGCATACATGGTTTTCATTCACTCTAAAGGTTACTGAGGTAGAGCTGAGCATTACGAATCTATATATGTGTAGTAGAGGCCCAGTGCACAAATTCATGCACCAGTGGGGTCCTTAGACCTGGCCTGTAGGATCAGGCTGAAACTGGCTCTCCAACATCCCCCAAGGGGTTCCAGATTGTGAGAGGGCACAGGCCAGGCCGAGGGTCCCCACCATTGTACTATTGGGGCCAGGGAGGTTGGTCAGCCAGGGAGAGACTGCAGGAGAGCTCCAGGGCATGTCTGGCACATCTTGCTTAGTCCCAATTGGCCAGGCCCCAGAAGCAAGCTAAAGTACCAGAGTGTCTGTCCCCCTGGTGGTCAGTGCATGTCATAGTGAGCGGTTGAGTGGCCTTAGCATATCATTAGCATATTATGCTTTGATTGGTTGAATGGCTGACCGGACGATCGGACACTTAGCATATTAGGCTTTTATTATATGGGATAGTATGTATATATACAGATACATATGTGTATATCCATCTATAGATATAGAGACCTATAGATAGATGACATAGATGGTTAGATTTAGAGAAATGTACTAAATACTAGAGGCCCGGTGCATGAAATTCATGTGGGGGGGGCAGGGGGGGTGTCCCTTCAGCCCAGCCTGCAACAATGCAAGCGTTCTGCACCCAGCCTGGCCAGAGGCCCTCCACAGCCAGGGTGGAACACTTGCCTCATTGCTGCGGCAACAAAGCAAGCATTCTGCCAGGCTGCTCACACTGCCTGCTTTCAGTGGGCCCCCTTCCCTCCCCCCTCCCTGCCCCAGACTGGGGTACTCTGGCGGGGCTGAGAGGATGGGGTACCACCATCTTGTGGCTATGGGCACTGCCATCTTTGTGATGGAGTGGTGGTTAATTTGCATATTACCCTTTTATTAGATAGGATTATTCTTATTAGTAGAAAGTATCTTATAAATGTAATAGGCATTTAATATTACAATTACATTATAATTAGCATGAAGTTTATTTCATTGAAAAATCAGTCTAGTTATGCTATACTCTTTTTTACAATTATGTCACTTTAATTTTTAAAAATTTAATTTTAATTAAAAAAATATTTTTAGCAACTTTACATCGAGAACATAAGTATCTGAGAGGAGTTCAGCCCGAGCTGGGCTGTTTGTAAGGCTCTAGCTTAGCAGCATATGTGAATGTTGAAGTACCTGTCTCCCACATTGTTGCCTGCAGGGTGGGGTCCCCAAGGTCCTGGGTGGCAGAGCAGCTCACTTGTTTCTGACAGACCACAGAAAACCATGCATCTTAGGTTTAACAACGAACTAATCTAAAGAAACACTCTAGGAATTTTGAAAACCCCAGTCTCCTCTCCACTCCCTTTACTTCTCTCAGACTGAAAAATACAATCTCATCATCCATTCCTCAAAAACAAAACAAAACAAAAATGAGAGAATTGTTGAATTCCTTCCCTGGTGCTTCCTTCAATGCACCGGGGTAGCTTTGACACTAGAGAGGACACTACAGAGGCACTAGTGACTGTCTTGCAGTCATCTCACTTCAGACTTCCACTCTTCAAACCAGAGAGAAATCATCTACCAAATATTCCCAGTGCCCTTTTCCTTCTGCTTGAGAAGATACAGATTCCTTAAAACCCTGAATAAGTTCTTATATTCTATGAAGAGCTGTAGTATAAATAGTTTCCTTTGTGAAACAGGCAGTTACTTATAATAAACATTTTCTCTGTATTATGTTTTGTATGTTAACTTACTGTTTTCTACTAGTTGTCTTTTTGCCACAAGATAAAAGAAAAAATATATACATATACATATATATATATACATATGTATGTGTGCTAGCTCGAAGTATA